CCGTTGAGGATGATAAAATAATGCAGGAAATCTTGACAATGCTAACCTACGACGGCAGTGAACAAGGATGGGCTGTTTTCAGTAAGGGCTTGCATGACATGACTAAAGGCAAAGGTGATATTTTGCTCACAGTTTTCGACAACTCAGAAAAATGGGGACAAAAAGTGGACCACCCTGATAAATTTGTGTCTGTAATGCGTGAGGAGATTACTGGCGTCCACCCTGAACACCACTGTAACCACGTCATTCTGCCAGGGAGCGCTGGATACATCCCAGAGCGTGTGGTTTGCTCTGAATGTGGACGTACTATGGACAAGTATATCATGTACCGCTGCTGCACCGACTAGTATGCTCTACTACTACTACTACTGCTGCTACTACTACTACTACAAAGGATTTTACTGCCTTTATATCTGGACTAATCTACTTTCCATTCACGTCTCACCATACTCGAGTATTTTTTTTCTCTATCTTTAAAGGAATGTTGAGATTAGGGTTCTCCTATCTACATATCTTCGATCTTTATTCAAGGTTATTGTTCTTGAGGGTTGATTTGTGGAGTATTTTTGTGATGTGTAATTAGGTTCATGTACTTGTTGGTACATATGTGGCAATGCCTCAACACATGCAATAAAGTTGAATAAATTTGGAAGAACAAAAACCAACAATCTAATCGAACCAAAAACTAACATATGCAGTATATTCAAATTCGCATGTTGACCTCTGAATAAAATGATATTTGTCCCCACTATCGGTGATGGGTTCCATATGTTGGGAATTTACTTAACATGCACAGCGGAAAATAAATCAAATTTCAATTTTCACCACGAATTTACTTTGTGTTTAGATAGAAATTGTGTTTAGAATAATACATTTGATGAATTCTGAAACTCCTTTACTGGTTCTCCAGCTCGGATGGTTACGATCTACAATCCAAGCTGTCCAATTGTCCAGCCTCCAACGGTGATTCACATAGAGAACAAGAATGACGACTAGAATTTTCTTTTCTTGTGTGTGACCAGTTCCCGATCACTATACGCAGCGACGTGAATTATTATTTTGATCTAATCAAAATTGATAAATTAAAATACCCCTTTTAATTTATTATCAATTCACATCTGCCGTCCCAAATTGACATCTAGCAATGTGTCAAGGTAATACATGTGACTGTAAATGTCACGTGGTATGACAAAATCAAACTTGTTCGTTTACCGTGAAACTATAATCCTTTCGTCAATATGATCCGATCAATTATGAGATGTAGATATGTGTCAATCTCAATTATCGATCATTTCTGTTATCCCATTGTTAAGTCAATGTAAGTCGAAAACTCCTTTTCGACTTATGAGTTCACCTTGGCCAATGATTTCATTATCATCTTAATTGGATAAAATGTAAATCATAATCTTTTACTATCTAATAGTGACGAATCCTCTATTGATCATTCAAAACCTTTATATGATTCTTGACATACCCGAACAATGTCGTATTAGCGACCCTTGGCAGTAACATCATCAAAGTATAACTGTCCTCATATAAGACACTATGATGACCTCAAGTCAAAGGACCAATTTCACTACCGAACATTAGAGATTAACCAGTGATACTCAGATAGTTATCCACATGAAATCTCCCAATAGGTCTCCAACGTTTTGTTCTATAACAAAACATCCACGTGTTCATTTAAATGTCACCACACTTTAGCTTGTGAGATCAGTTACTTACTTTACAAGTAAGAAATGCCACACGTGATGGTCTATCTGTAAAACGATATCCGTATCTCGTTATTACATACGACCACAGACAATTTAAGATTCNCTTGACATACCCTAACAATGTCGTATTAGCGACCCTTGGCTGCAACATCATCATAGTATAACTGTCCTCATATAAGACTCTATGATGACCTTAAGTCAATGGACCAATTTCACTACCGAACATTAGAGATTAACCAGTGATACTCAGATAGTTATCCATGTGGAATCTCCCAATAGGTCTCCAACGTTTTGTTCTATAACAAAACATCCACGTGTTCATTTAAATGTCACCACACTTTAGCTTGTGAGATCAGTTACTTACTTTACAAGCAAGAAATGCCACACGTGATGGTCTATCTGTAAAACGATATCCGTATCTCGTTATTACATACGAACACAGACAATTTAAGATTCAGTTGT